TGCATATGGTTTCGTGTTTTATTACTTTTTTAAAAAATATTTCCCTCCCCTTCTCTTTCTTTCCCTTCCATTTATCTTTCTTTTCTCTTTACTTCCATGCCCTTTATTATTATTTTTTAGATTACCGAACTTTTCCATGTACAAGACGAGTTTTTTTAATACTCTAAAATAATGTTAAAAAACGGGGGTTGTCTTATACATGGAGAGTGCGTGGTGGGGACGGACGGGAGATAGGTTGCGTCCGTGAGTAGGAGCTTGTCAGCAGTGATATTGTGGGTGATTTGTGGCTGCGTCAAGTGCTGCTTTGGGTTTGTTGCTGCTGCGGTAATAGCGTGGGTGATTAGTTCTCGTGGCGAGGTTTGCTGTGGATTGGCTGCCACTTTGGCAATTGGGCGTGCGATTGCTGTTTGCTGTTGGTGAGTGGGCAGACACATGTTGGCTAGTGCGACGTGAGCAGTTGTCAGCGTGTGTCAGTCTGGTTAGTGATTTTTGGCATTGCCCCCCCCCCCCAATGTCAACCACTCTGGGGCATCTCCCCCCATTTTCTTAAATTTGAGACCCCCCAAAATAGGAATCGTCTTATACATGGGGGCGTGTTATACATGGAAAAATACAATAGTTTTATTGTCTCCAATGTTGAAAACTTTCAATAAAATTAATTATTATAAAAACAGGAAATTCCTACCGCCACCAAACAGATGTGAGAGATTAGAGTGTTCTGTTGGTTTCTGTTGCTGGAAAAGTTTCCTGGAGCCAAAGTTGTGGGCTGTTATGTGGAATCTTACATGTAATAGCGCTATTTTATTATCCCTCTGTATTGTTTATAGTTATTGATGTGTATGACTGATTGCTATGCCCGATGGCTAAGGCAATAAAGTTTTGTCAATTGATTGATTGATAGGGGCCACTTTGATTTTTATATAAAAACTCCCTTTCCCGATTACTAGAAACGACACTGCCTGCTTTTACAGCAAGAGCCACAAAAATGCCTCCAGCTACCTGCAAGAGGTCCCCCACCTTGTAGTTGCTGGAGTTCAAGTGAAAGTTATGAATGAATCAGATGTGGTTTATCACAAGTCAAGTAGAAAACATGAAAAGACTTGACATAGGATTTGTGGCTCAGCCAAAGTAGCTTTAATTGATCTGGGGCTGTGTCTTCTGCCTTGCCTACAATGTTCCCGTGTTTGCAATGGCCCGCCAGCTGCAATGGCTTTCCCCTCAAATTGAGGACCCAATGAGGGAATGGCGGATAAAACATGGATGGCACATGTTTCCTCCCATGTTCAAATTATGTGGCCAGGAAGAAGGAAATGGGCCAAGCTGAGGTATTAGCAAAACTGTCCATTTTCAGTGCACTCTGAAACACCAGCAAATCATATTGCTCTCACACTTCCTTTCTTGACAATCTGTAAAACAGCTTCCCAGCTGAGATTAACCGTAAGTGGCTTCTGATGTTAGATGAATTGTCTTCCTTGTAGATCCACCAGGAGCAAGGCATTGCCAAAATGTTCAACTCTGCTGTGACAGTTTGAACATTGGAGGACAACCTTTTCAAGGGCATTTGACAATAGACGCAATCTGGTCTGGTGTTCTGCACCAAGCCTTTTCTCTTGCAATTGTCGTTCCTCGTTTGTTCACTTTTTACAGGTGATCCTCATGACAACGTAGTTATGAAACTGTTGCATCGCACTGTTTTCCGCTTTCTTCCTCCTGTGTTTTTCAGACCTTGATTATTTTTGTTGGTGTTTTTTTTTTGCAGATGCTCTAAAATGCAACTGTAGCAATCACAACATGTTGGGCTCAGAGGATGAAACAATCTGAGAAACAATTAATGTTGCCAGTGGAAATACCATTGCAATACATAACGACAAAAGCATGAAAACACATATAAAAACACATTAAATAAACAATAATAAACAGGAGAATGGGAATTTTCAGTTAGTTCAGTGGTTTTTTTGAGCTACAGTCTCTTATGTACTATTATTGCAACATATTAGTTCATTTTGTATGTTTTCATGCCTCACTGTTGTTATGTACACACAGATCCTGCTATCTGCCAGCTCGCTCTGCAAAAAGTTACTTATCCAAACATAAAGAATTGTGCCCAAACCCTGATACACACTCCACAGATTCCGAAATCTGAACATCCAGAGTGTTTCCACTTCCTGACTTCCTTGCTTGTTTGTGCTTTTCTGGTTGGCAGCAAGCATTTTTGGGCAGAAACCATGCAGGCAAGAAGAGAGTGAGACTGGACAAATCAGAGTGCAGGAGAGATATGTGGGGCAATTCAGTTTTTCCCGTTTCTCTCTTTTGCTGTAGCCATTGCGGGAAGAAACCACCGAGAGAAGGACTGTGCGGAGAGACTGGGCAAATCCCTGATGAGAAATGTATCCATAGGAATCCACGGAAATTCTAGACTCGTTATGTGAATGTTTGCCTAACGAACGACTTCCAGACAATGCATTGTATTTGGTAAGCAGCACTTGTATGCATTGCATTCCTGTTTCCATTAATCTTAATTATTTCTTATATTTTTTACAAGTTTCATTTTCTCTTTGTGTGTGTGTGTGTAGCCGGGGACCCTTTCCTTTGTGTTTGTGGGTTTTAAAAAACTCTTCTTTTAATATTATTTAAATATCTTGTTGGGAGCCACCCAGAGTGGCTAGGGCAACCCAGTCAGCTGGGTGGAATATTAATATTATTCTAATTATTCTAATCATTATTATTCTAATTATTCATATTCTTATTCTTATGCAGGGTTGAGGAACCTTTGGCCCTCCAGAACTCGTCCTCTTTATTTGTTTGTTTTTTCATAGTCACTAGACTCTATGATTTAACCATGCTGGCATCCTTTGAGACTTATAGAATCATAGAATTATAGAGTTGGAAGGGAACCCAGAGGATATCTAGTCCAACCCTCTGCAATGCAGGAATCCCAACTAAAGCATCCATGATAGATTGCTATCCAGATAATAATAATAATAATAATAATAATAATAATAATAATAATAATTTATTTATTTATTTATACCCCACCCATCTGGTTGGGTTTCCCCAGCCACTCTGGGCGGCTTCCAACAAAATATTAAAATACAGTAATCCAGTAATAACCAGAGCATGCACCACTCTGGCAAGACAGTCCGCGGGCAGGTAGGGTCTCAGCCTGTGTACCAGATGGAGCTGGTAGACAGCTGCCCTGGATACAGATTTGACCTGCGCCTCCATGCACAGCTGTGAGTCCAAAATGACTCCCAGCCTGCGCACCTGCTCCTTCAGGGGCACAGTTGTCCCATGCAGGACCAGGGAGTCCCCAACACCTGCCCGCTGTCCCCCCAAAACAGTATTTCTGTCTTGTCAGGATTCAACCTCAATCTGTTGGCCGCCTCCAGGCACTCACACAGGACCTTCACTGCCTTCACTGGTTCCAATTTGAAAGAAAGGTAGAGCTGGGTATCATCCGCATATTGATGGACACCCAGCCCAAACCCCCTGATGATCTCTCCTGGCGGCTTCATGTAGATGTTAAAAAGCATGGGGGAGAGGACGGAACCCTGAGGCACCCCACAAGTGAGAGCCCAGGGGTCTGAATACTCATCCCCCACCACTTTCTGGACACGGCCCAGATGACAGATGGTGTTAAGACTCTAACTGTTAGCCAACATGTCCAGTGGCCAGGGATGATGGAAGTTGTAGTCTGGCAGCATCTGAAAGGCCAGGAGCAATGTTATACAGTGGTACCTCGGGTTACGAAAGCTTCGGGTTACAAACACTTCAGGTTACAGACTCCACTAACCCAGAAGTAGTAAAGTTAAGAACTTTACCTGAGGATGAGAACAGAAATCGTGTGGCGGCAGCAGGAGGCCCCATTAGCTAAAGTGGCACCTCAGGTTAAGAACAGTTTCAGGTTAAGAACGGACCACCGGAACGAATTAAGTTTGTAACCAGAGGCACCACTACTGTACAGTTTTCAGGACAACAATTTATGGCTACCTGTGTTAGAACTTGTTGTCACTGTGAAAACCCCTCCAAGTTAGGCCACCGCTGGTGAACACTCATCATGTTATTTAATTTTTTGAAATAGTCCCTGGACTATACTGAAGGAATACAGAACAAAAGAGTGGTTCTGAGCATGTGCAGAAAGCTGTGGGGCTTTGCAGCATGGACTGGGGGGCGGGTACTTTGAGGACTAGTCTGCCTGAGCTAAGAGATGGCATGGGACATTTTTAAAGGATCCCTTTCCGCTGGCAGCGACAGTAAACTCAAAGGGGCCTTTTCATGTCTTGTACAGGGTGAGTCTTTTAAAAGAGGCCCCGTGGAACATGTGTACAGTGGTACCTCGGGTTAAGTACTTAATTCGTTCCGGAGGTCCGTACTTAACCTGAAACTGTTCTTAACCTGAAGCACCACTTTAGCTAATGGGGCCTCCTGCTGCTGCTGAGCCGCCGGAGCACGATTTCTGTTCTCATCCTGAAGCAAAGTTCTTAACCTGAAGCAATATTTCTGGGTTAGCGGAGTCTGTAACCTGAAGCGTTTGTAACCCGAGGTACCACTGTACTCTGTATCCACTGGGGCCTCTTTTAAAGGACTCACCCTGCACAAAGAGGCACCTTTTTAACACCAATTTGAAAAAATGTATGTTTACTTCCAAACAAAAAATGTCGCGATACACGCGTATTTTAAAACAAAACGCTTACTGCTATTTCAAGGGGCTCTAGAAATTTCTGTCCTATAGCATTTTCCATCGTACGTATCTGATTTCAAATGATTTACACACACACTGTTCAGATTTTATATAGTTTAAAGTCGCTTCGAGGCACGTTTTAGGGTGTTTTTTGGTTCTTGTTTTAAGAAAGCGAGGCCTAAATGCTGGAAACAATAAAATAATCGCGATAGATGTCCAGAATTCAGAGGAAGAATGTTAAAGCACAAAACCCCTCAGACATAAATAAATCTCTGGCATTCCTCTAAACCTATAAATTAAGGTTAGGCTATTTACTCACGCATCCAGCTTTCTGGGGCCTTCAAATTTAGTTGTGGAAATGGCTCCATCTGCTCTTGCATAAAGGCCTCTCTCCTGGGGAATTGTTCCCTCTCGTGCAGTTAATCTGCAACCCTGATGCACAGAAGAAGGTCAGCATGGACTAAGGGACTCTGGGAATTGTAGTTCTTAAAACTCACAAGAAGGCACAGCACTCCCTGTCGCCCAAACAAGAAGTCCTAGTCCTTCACTAAGGCAATACAGTGGTACCTCGGGTTACATATGCTTCAGGTTACAAACGCTTCAGGTTACAGACTCTGCTAACCCAGAAACAGTACCTGGGGTTAAGAACTTTGCTTCAGGATGAGAACAGAAACTGCGCGGCGGCAGCGGGAGGCCCCATTAGCTAAAGTGGTGCTTCAGGTTAAGAACGGACCTCCAGAACGAATTAAGTACTTAACCTGAGGTACCACTGTACTGTACTGCACATTCAATGCAGAGATCTCTATTGAGTGTGCCAAGCAACATGGACATAGCCAGGATTTTTTTGGGGGGGGGCTGGGGGCAGGACACCCCTCCTGTTACCATCCTCTGTCTGGCTCTGTCCAGCAGATTCAGAATGAAATGTCTCAAAGACAGTTGTTTTAAATTACTTTCTTTTGACCCCAAGTGCTCAGGGGGAAAAAATCTGTCAAAACATTTCAAATGTTCTGATTATTTCCACTTTTAGTGAAGTGTTTTTATTTACAGTGGTACCTCGGGTGAAGAACTTAATTCGTTCTGGAGGTCTGTTCTTAACCTGAAGCTCGTTCTTAACCTGAGGTTCCACTTTAGCTAATGGGGCCTCCTGCTGCCACCACACCGCCGCTGCACAATTTCTGTTCTCATCCTGAGGCAAAGTTCTTAACCCGAGGTAATATTTCTGGTTTAGTGGAGTCTGTAAGCTGAAGCGTCTGTAACCCGAGGTACCACTGTGTTTACTTGGTTGAGGGTGGGTGGGTGCTGCTGCCTCCTTTGCCCCCCTGGCTACGCCCATGTCAAGCAAACCTCTGGAAAACCTGGATTTCAACTGCCCTTTCCCAGCAACCAAATGTTTAACTTCTAGTTTTTAAACAACAACAACAACAACGCACCTTAAAGTTAACATTTCTTTAAAAAAAAAGAACTGGTAAAATCCAGAAGTCAACCGCTGAAAAAACAAAGAAGTTGAAAAGTTAGCAGTCTCTCTGTGGGTTTTTTTTTTTTGGGGGTTTTTTTAAAAACCAGTCAGTTCCCATGACTGCTGGTGCATTACGTACTCCCCAACATTTCTCTGATGAAAATAGGGACATCCTATTCCATACCCCACAATATTTCTCTTATGAAAATAGAGATGTCCAGTGCTATTTTTCTAGGAAAAAGAGGTGCCAGAACTCACAGTGAACACACCTCCTTTGTTCTCTTATCATGGCAATGGCACCCACCTGAGAGGTGCTGGAACTGAATTCATAATAATAATAATGATAATTGGTTGGACAATGTTCTTGAAGCGACAAACATGAGTCTGACCAAGCTGCGGGAGGCAGTGGAAGACAGGGGTGCCTGGCGTGCTCTGGTCCATGGGGTCACGAAGAGTCGGACACGACTAAACGACTAAACAACTAAACAACAACAATAATGATAATAATAATAATAATAATAATAATAATAATAATAATAATAATAATATTAATTTATTTATACCCCGCCCATCTGGCTGGGTTTCCCCAGCCACTCTGGGCGGCTTCCAACCAAATATTAAAAACAATACAGCATCAGACATTAAAAACTTCCCTAAACAGGGCCACCTTCAGTTGTCTTTTAAAAGTAAAATAGTTTATTGCCTTGACATCTGCTGGGAGGGCGTTCCACAGGGCAGGTGCCACTACTGAGAAGGCCCTCTGCCTGGTTCCCTGTAACCTCACTTCTCACAGCGAGGGAACCGCCAGAAGGCCCTCGGCGTTGCACCTCAGTGTCCGGGCTGAATGGTGGGGGTGGAGACGCTCCTTCAGGTATACAGAACAAAGGCCTTTCAGGGCTTTAAAGGTGAGCACCAACACTCTGAATTGTGCTCGGAAAAGTTCTGGCGAGTTCTGTCTGGGGAAAACATAAGCCATGGGGACATCCTATTTCATACCCTCCAACATTTCTCTGATGAAAATAGGGATGTCCTAAGGAAGAGTGGGACATTCCAGGATCAAATCAGAAACTGGGACATCTTCTGTAAATCTGGGACTTTCCATGGAAAATAGGGTCTGGGTGGTAAAATGCAAACAATCTGCCTCCCACCCCTCTGAGAAAGCAGGTGTTTGCCAACCCTGAACAAAGCCACCCCCGCAGTTGCTGAGTAATTAGCGCATTTTTGAGCTTCTGATACTCATCTGCAGAATCTCTTCCGAAAAATCCTTTACTGTGTGATTACAGTTGCATAAACCAGCATATTGCCCCCCCTAAAAACATTAACAGGAAAACATCCCCCTGCAACAACAGTCTTGACAGAGGCATCCTCACCTGTGCCAGCGTGAAAGGATAGTGCTTCTTCTAAGATGATGCTCTGCAGTTTTTATTTTATATAATTATATGATATTTATATAGTATGAATGCTTATATTGGTCAGGGGTCCCTTTACCTTTACCTAATGCTTATATATTTATTATATTTTATAACTACTTCTATATTTCCTATTATATAGCAATTGGAAATGTAACTTTGCAAAGGCATTTATTTCTTTAACTATCCAGGAAGGATCTGCTGTTGCTTTTTAGCCAACCAAAAGTTTTTAAATGGTTTAAACCAGGGGTCAGCAAACTTTTTCAGCAGGGGGCCAGTCCACTGTCCCTCAGACTTTGTGGGGGGCTGGACTATATTTTGAAGGGGAAAAAATGAACGAATTCCCAAGCTCCACAAATAACCCAGAGATGCATTTTAAATAAAAGGGCACATTCTACTCATGTAAAAACACGCTGATTCCCAGACCGTCTGCGGGCCGGATTTAAAAGGTGATTGGGCCAGATCTGGCCCCCAGGTCTTAGTTCGCCTACCCATGGTTTAAACTAATCAACTGGAATTGATTAAAGCTTTCCGTCTGCAAACCTGGACTGATCCTCCAATCAACAGGCACTGCAGCCCATCCTGGCTTTCTGATTGGAGCTGTTGTGCACTTTTGCCAGAAGCCTAACTCAATCACAAGGGAGGGGACAATGTTGGGGTGGAGAACCTTTTTGGCTTCATGGGCCAGGTCCTTATTAGAAGCAGCTTCACAGGCCAAATTTGACCCGGTGGGCAGTGCTCCCCATTTTGCAGTCTTTCTCCAGTTTGCAAACAGCTTCCCAAAACACAACTGTTTCCCCTCTTGCTTACATCAGCCCTCTGCACTCTCCCTTCTGGACTCTGCATTGTCTTGCTAACTACCCATAGCCCAGGCTGGGGCTCTACCCCTCTGCATCTAGCAGACAACCTTTGCCTTGTTGACAGATTTCTTAATGGGCATCATCCTGTCTTGCATTCTCTTAATGGCCCATGTCTTCAGGTGATTACCTCATCAGCCAGCAAGCCTGGCTTCTTTCTCTTCTTCTTTTAACATGGTTTATATTTTGACATGCTAAACTCAATGTCTGGCACACCGGAATTAGAAGCGGGAGTCCAGGCACCCCACAGACTGATAGAGCTGGGATCTTATTTTAATATGGAGGAGAGAAAAATGCAACCTTCCACCTGCACTTTGAGGTCCAGGAACAATTTTCTCCCTTCAGGTGTTGTGCGAATGAGGCCATAGCTATACAGTACCTTTGAATGTGCACACTTCCAGGGTTTTTCTCCCCTCCTCCCAAAGTTTGCAGGTAAAAAAAGGTGTGAAGTGCCCCACTGAAGCAGCCCCCAAGTCCAGGTGAATGTCCTGTGCATTGGGGAGGCAGGTGGGGGAACCCATGTTCTAGAAAGAAACAAAGAATAGGGTGTTTTTGGCTTCACATTCTTTAGAGATAGCAGGATGTCAGTAGCCCCCAAGAGAGGGTGGAAGTAAATGAATCATTGCTCGAAACTGAAGGATATCATCCGTGCTGAATGGTGAAAAGGAGTCCCAAACAGTATCTTCATTGATTTTTCTATAATTGACAAAGAAGCTTGGTTTGCCTTAGGGCTTCTAAACTAAAGATGTGGGGAGACCCATGTCCAGGAAGCTGCTTTTTGCCACAACCTGTGCAAAATTGGACCTCAATTAGTTGTCTTTTTTTTTTTTTTAATGCAGTCATGCTCCGGACAAGTGTCTGGTTTGATAAGCCTTCCATTCCTGTGGTTCATTAAAGAGAATCAAGCGGCCCTCATTGTTAGGTAGCATTGCTGAAGAATTCACATCCAACAGAGAACTGGGCATTCAGTTATGGATATGTTATTTCAGTGACAAACTTGTTTGCACAAACACATGAATAATAATGGGTAGTGGAGTGTACCTTTAAGAAGTTAAGAATGATCTATAAGGTTAAGGACAGACAAAAGAAAGCAATTCTTTGCACTATGGAATCTGCTCCCACAATATGTAGCGATGACCACCAACTTGAATGGCTTTAAAAGACGATTCAAAACATTCATGGAATAGAAGACTAATCAATGACCACCAGCCTTGTTGGCTATGTTTTCTCTCCACTGTTGGAAATAGATAGCATGCCTCTGAAGAGTTGGGAATCGCAAGTGTGGAGAGCACTGTTGCACCCAGGTTCCACTTTCAGTGTTCCCTGTTGTTCCCACAGTGGTTGGCCACTGTGAGAACAGGATGCTGGACCTAATGGGCCAATGGCCTGATCCAGCAGGACTTTTTTATGCCCTTAAGTTAGCCTACTCTGATATATTATTGGGCTGGATTCCTCATATACTGTACAGAACAACTTCGGTACCATGAAGACAGGACCCTGGAGAAGACGTCTAGGGTCCCACTTAATAAAAGGAGCAGAGCAGGCTTGCTGGAGGTGTTTTGGATGCTTGCAAACATTCCCCACCTCCTCCATTTTTAGGCCAGGATATGCAGACATGTCATTTCATTCTGCATAAAAAGGTAAAGGGACCCCTCACCATTAGGTCCAGTCATGACCGACTCAGGGGTTGCAGCGCTCATCTCGCTTTATTGGCCGAGG